TAAGATTAAAAAAAAAAAAAAAGAATATCGGCTGTGTGTGATGTCATGTCTTAAAAACACAAGCTGGGCAGAGCACAACAGATTTGAACAGAACGTGATTATTGGCCTGGTCCATCTATGTGTAAAATAGACTAGCGATTAAAAAAAGCACAGATAGAGTGCCCGTGTGAACGTCCTCTTAAACGTGCTGTTTACTTTCCTGCATTAAAGCATTTTAAGATGTCAGAGTATTACTGCGAGGTGTTATAGCTTAGCTCTCCAGCGGTTACCTTCATAACATTGTGTAAAAATGAGGAAATGAATCGTGTTTTTATTCAGTGCTTTCGCGCCATACTCTGGCAGGTAGGCCTTGAGGTCGTTCTCTTTGAAGGTGCGCCTTCCTCTCAAAAACATGAAAACATCTCAGACAATCACATAACTCTTGATAGCACTGCTCTGCCTTGAACCCCCAATCTCCAAAACCCTTCTTCTGAATACTCGCAACGGGGTTTAATCAGCTCAAGAGGGGGGGCTTCTTATCTTTCTGCACTTGTTATGGGAAGCTTTTTGAACAAATCAGAGGGGAAAAAAAGGAGCGGTTCATTATTTCCAGGGTTGGCAATGAGGTTGATGTATCTCATTGTGAACCCTCAGTTGACAGCTCATTTTCCAGACAATCCTAGCTTTGATTCACGGAAGGCGAGAAAGAGAGCGGGACGGTGAGGAAAAGAAGGCTCAGGATTCCATTGCGTATTCAGGACCAATGCTTGCGGCTGTGTGTTAATAATCTCCTCAGAAAACAGGCTGAATCCCAATTGTTTGTTGAACACGTATGTAACTGGGTACAATTCTGCGCAGATGGAATGCTGAGAGATTGGCCTTGTGCACGACACAGAGGAGAAGATTAAGGCAAGGTAATGTGCTGTTTGATAGTCACGGTGAGAAAGAACCGCTGCTCTTCAATCTCAAGTCAATTTGGGAGACTAAAAGGAAGGAGAAATGAAAAAGTGTGCATCTAAGGGTTAATGAAAGAGGGACTGTGCAAAAGGAAAAGCAATGAGTGAGGGTTTTTGCCGGATAGATGGATAGGTCAGCTGAAACGCGGCGCCATGCTGTCTGCAGTGTGCCAAATTGTGCTATCCTGATTGATCTGTGTTTTTGGAGAGTTGTCTTTAACGACGCTGGATTTCTTTGCCACACACCTTTCATCCTCATGTCCATCTGCTCCGTACACTCCTGGTCCTTCCTGACTCATGGCCCTTATCCAAACCCACATCGCGCTCTCTCTCTCTCTCTCTCTCGCAGTCATGAAAATCCACAAGTAACAAAGCCCAGGGGCAAAGCATCCTCTAGGGTGCAGAAGGGAAAATTAAGCTAACCACATCGCATCCCCAGCTGTGCTCTAACCGGAATATAACTAATAGTGAGGTGAGACAAAGTCCATCCCAGTGGAGGGCTCTTGGACTGTAATGGGCTCATCGTAACAACTGTTACTGGGGTGCCCAGATCTTAAAGTAAGCATTTCTTGCAACCCATCCCAAATTCTTTTACCCGGGTGGGATAGAGCAGGGCTCAATAATAAGGATGGCACTGGCCAGCGTCAGAGATTTTTGGGTCAATTGATGGGATCGTCACTTGTCCTTTCAGGCCAGTGCTGCGCTGTCACTGAAAAGTTTGTATTCACTGATCTTTTACATTCATTTTCATGCCTTGTGGATCTAAACTTTTTTTATGGAGATATATTACATTGTATACATTTCCAGTTTGTTGCAAATTTTCATTTGTCAAAGGAAAAATACAAAATATAATTACAAATATAAAAAATATATATTTTAATAAATTAAACGGATGTGTAAACATACCCATTAATGTAATAAAGAAACATTACACAAATCACATACCGAGAACTAGGAAATTTATCCAATCAGCGGAATCCCATCAGCACCGATCCCGAGCTGAACCAGACCCTCATCCTCACAGCCGCTCTGTTTGACAGGGATTGGATTGGACTGTGTGGCGAGTGCTGCCAAAAAGTGAGACTCGATCTGTAGGCAGTTGGTTTAATAGATGGCAGGATGAGATCCCTGCTGGCATGAAGCCCACAGCACCCACAGCAAGTCCGACTCAACTCCATTAACTCCCATTAGAATTGCTCAACTAGCTTCACTGAAACTCGACATTCCTGATTCACGCTTACGGACAAAACTACACGCGCGTACACTGAAATGCATGCTGATTAAAAGAGCGTACTGCCCTCACAAAACACCCACGCTTATACAAACAGGATAATCTGTTGCACACATTATATACTTGAGCAAATGTCAATTTTGTATTGCATTTTTTTCTAGAACCGCCAGGGTTCGCTCACTCAAGGAAAGATTACGAATAAACTCTGCAGCGGTAAAGGGGGGGAAATCAGCTGTCTTCTGACAAGTACACTGTACCCGGCAGTTTTCTGTCCAGAATACAAAGAGACATTTATCACTGCAGCTGGGTAGAAAAGAGAGAGGGGGGTGTGAGCGAGAAAAGAGAGAAGAGAAAAATATACAAGGGAGAACTGGCTGCTCTGTCACTGCGGCAGTGCGAGACTTTCTCTTTTAACCCCCTTCTTATTAATGCAGCATGTGTTTGAGTGAATAGAAGCCGTCCTCCATTCCCTTTCCATGCTATATTTCCTGTTTTGTCTTTATACAACCCGTTTTGGCATCGCATTTCTCCCGTATTACGACTTCTGAATCGTAGCACTAAAATGACGCCTTCTGCTCATCTGAGGTAATTACAGCCATTACGAAAAGGTTAAAACCCAGGGCAGCTGCCCTTTCTGTATCCTGTCACTCTGATGTATATTCATTTGCCCTGGTGTAAACATAAATGATCAGCTGAAATGCATACGCAGACCTACCATCAAAGCAATGACTGTGCTGTTGGAAACAACTGACTGAGTTCACAGGGATGCCTTCATCTTGTCACTGCTTCATCCCTCTGTCCTCACTGCATCCTCACTTACTCCATTGCAGATGATCTCAGTGGGTTAAAATTTAGTTCAGTTTCCTCCTGCATAAAAATGACAGATTATCAGCTATTGATGAAAGATTAAAGACAGGAACTGGTGAGTGAGATCAGTTGCGGCCACAAACCCCGGGAGTCTCCCCACTTTGTCCAAAGGCGTTATCTCTGTATAATGTCAGCTTCACAAAGGAGAAAACCTCAGCAACCCTTTTACGTGCAAATACCCTCCTTTCTTTCCCTCAAAGCGGTCAGCTCTCCCCAGAGCTTAAGCAATCGTTTTCCTCAGAGGAAAAAAAGGCAGTGTGGCTTGCATTCTGAGCGCGCCACTGCAACAGACTTTGTTTTCCTACATGCCGCCCCTACGGTCTGTTTTCAAGGCTTCCAAAAAGAGGAGATTGAACTCAATCACTCCATCCTCTGGGTAACCAATTAACCTTCATGGTTTTAGGGCCCTTGCCCCCAACCCCTTAAAAAGGAGTATAAAAACTAATGGGGGAGGCTGGCTGTTAAGTTTAATGGGAGACAGGGAGGCCTCAAAATGGGTTTTTTAATGATGCTCCCCTGCTCTCATGCACTATCCATTAAAGAGTAGGCTGGAATGGGCTGCTGCACTGCAAGACTAGAGATCAACACAATCAAATGGGCCAAACATCACAGCGGGGGCTCAGGCCCTTAGTTAAGGGATAATGTGCAATCTTGCTCATCATTTTTGTCACATTAACATCACAAAAGTTCTAAAAAGGCAGCCTAATATGTCTCCATCCAAATCTATGCTGTCACTTACACAAATTTCGCATTGGTGATAAATGTCTAATTTAATCTCTGGCCTTTATGGGATCATTAGCTCCCATGTAGAGCTCCTCTTGTGGGCTTTGGTTCTGATCCTCAAGCAAGACCAGGGGTTATTTAGCTTGAACACCTGTGTTGAACTTCAGTAAGGGTCAGTACGATTTTTAATGTTTTTGAAAGATACATCTTATGCTCACCAAAACAGTATTACAAATGTTTTTACTGTCACTTTTGATCAATTTAATATGTCCCTACTGGATAAAAATATTGATTTCTTTAAAAAATAATCTTACTGATCCCAAATTTCTGAATGGTAGAGCACATTCACGAAAATAAATAAAAAGATAAATGATCAATTAGTTCTGCTAGCATAATAGCAGATGTCATGTTTGCAGATGCCACTTGGATTAATATTCTTGAATGAAATTCATACCTTTTTAAGTGTGACTAAGTGTCCTTCTGGGGCCACTCTTCATGCCAAATTCAAGCTGCCCACCCCTGCAGTCCAGTTCTGCCCCAGTTGAGCTGGAATTGTGAAAGAGCACAAGAGGTGACTGGGGACTGTCAGTAAGGCTTTTTAAGACTAGTGACTTTCTCTGTACTTGGTCTTATTATTCTGTCATAGATAAGGGCATTTAATGTCACGGCCCCGCATGTGGCCAAGAGTGGGCACCAAGGAAATCCAATTAACTTCAGCCACAGCAACACTGCCCACATTGTGCCTTTCACAATCCCACCCACCCCTCTGGCAAAACCGGGTGCCTTCCATCGCCAATGACACACTAACTTCCTTTGACTCAACTCGAGTTGGACATTAGTCTGTGCTGTTTTTTTCTTGTTTGTGATCTCAGGGTTTTCACTGAGGAATACACCCCACTGCTGAGTCTCAGTACATGACTCATGCTTTCTTTAAGGTAAGCTTTTGCAGCATATAGATGAGCAATCACATATGTCCCATCCCACCGTCTGGCTGCGACTCAAGGCAAGGTCTGCTGCCATTTCAGATGCAGTGTCGCTCCGCCTGTCAATTTTACTCAGCATTACACCATTTTTTGCAATGGTTGGCCAGAGCTGCTGTTTTGGGCATGTGGGGAGTGAAAACTCTTGAAATACTAATAAAAAAGGAGACTATAATTGTCCATAGGGATGTGAGAACAAAACAGGGTGTGGCGTCACTGGTGCGAGGCCAGATGGTTACCGACTTAGAGGTGGCACGGCTATACTGCGCCTGGACCTGGATTTCAATGCTGTATATTACTTCTGCAGTACAATAAGCATCAGGTAAGCCAGCAGGGCTCCTCCTCTTGGCTGCTGACTCTTGTCATGCCGGGCAATGATGACTTGATGGAATGCAGTTCTTACATTACAGGTAGCACTTTCCAAACCGTCTTTATATGTGTAGGAAAATCAACGTTAACAAGCAGTCAGACTGTGTACAGTCTCTCTGCATTATCTGAAGAGAAAGAATGTGAAAGAAGGAGAGGCAGAAGGGGCATGTGGTAAATAATGAGGGAGTCGGTTAAAAGAAAGTAGGAGAAAGAGGCAGACATGGGCATGAAGAAGAGAGTGAGAGACAGAAGAAGAGAAAGACAAAAGAATGAAAGAAAGCGAACGAGATAGGCCAGCTTGAAAAACAAGATAAAACGGAATATAAAACGCATAGCCAAGGCTGACACAGTGAACATGCCTGAATGAGAAGACACACTGCATTAATTATGTAACACAGTCTATGCAAGCAGGCCGCTCACACACGTCTCACAGGGGATGACAGTCTGGAGATATTAGTATTCGGTTGACGCAGTTGGGCCCAGCTGTTGAAGAGAAGACACACTGATTTTATGCACTCGGGTTGCATTGTGTCCAGGTACGTTTCTGTCAGTCTTAGCTTGACAGGAACAGGGCATCGGCTTTATTCCCACTGAATAAAAAAATAGCACAATAGGAGGAAAATGCAGCAATAGCAGTTTGTGTGAAAGGATATTAAGATTTTTAAGTTTGTCTTTGAATCCTTTTTGGATTTAAATAGCCACTTCTGCTTTGGTCAATTCATGAATCATTTGGCTTTTGATTAACATATATATTTATATACACTACCTTTAAAAAGTTTGAGGTCAGTAAGATTCACTTGAATCCTTTATTCAGCAACGATGCATTGAATTGATCAAAAGTTACAGTGGAGACGTTACAAATGGTTATCCTACTTTTCAAATGTTTGCGGAGGGGGGAGTCTATTGTGCTCACCACAGTTGCATTTATTTGATTTAGAAATACAGTAAAATCAGTAAAAAAATTGAAATGATTATTATTACAATTTTAAATAACCGTTTTATATTTTAATATGTTTTAAAATGTAATTTATTCCCATGACAAATATGAGTTTTCAGCCATTACTCTTTAGTATTAGTCTTTAGTGTCACATGATCCTTCAAAGTCATTCTAATATGCTGATTCGGTGCTCAATAAATATTTCTTATAAAGTTGAAGAGAGTTGTGCTGCCTAATATTTTTGCGAACTCTTTGATGATGAAATAACATTTATTTCAATAGAAATATATATTGCATATATTGCAGTTAATTACTCTTTTTATTTTTCTCAGCTCAAATGCAAGCAGTAATTGAATGAAGAACTTAAAAGAATGAAGGTCAAGAGACAGATAAATAGAAGGAAAACTGTACATTCATCCACCCACAAATCTATTTTTGCCACCCCTGCCTTGAAGCAAGTTACATATTCTAGGCTGGATGCTTTATGAATAGCAAATAAAGCCCTAATAGAAGAAAATCTCATAGACTTGCTTCAATAAAATAGGCTGGCCTGCAGATTTCAGAGGGGTTCACCGACTTCGGCAATGTGCTTCTCACAGATGATTTAATTTGCTGCAGCCAATGAGTTTGCGTCCTCCGTTACATCCCCCCTCAACACCCACCCAAACCCTTAACCCCCAAAGCCCAGCCCGTCCCCTCACAGATGTAATTTACTGTCTGCTTTGTCCCTCTCGTTCTTCTCAGACTCAAGGGTTTCTGAGTAAATTAGCTACATTGCTCGGTCAAGCTTAAACACAGAATACAGCATTTGTAACAGAGTATTTAAAGATGTCCTCCACAAACCAATCCTTTTGGAAAAGAAGAGTTGGCTCTTGTGACTGGCTGCCTTAGGGTGCGTGCCTCGGTGGCTGCCAGATCTATGAGTCAGGTTAATTTGGGACTGCCATCATCAAGAAAACTCTGGGGTCGAGTACCACTACAATGGCCTTCTCTGTGCTTTTCCAGAACTAATAAGCGAATCTGTCATTCCCAAACCCAGAGACATAATATCCTGTTTTCTGTCAGATATCCCCCATGTTTTATAATGGTGGGCTCTAAGAGGTTGCTTCACCCTTTATTAGCATGCTATCTACTTCTCAGGCCATGACACCATCCAGTGGAGAGTTATACGGGTGCAGTGGCACGGCAACAGGGAGATGACATCAGTTTCTGGTCATCCTCGAGGGATTCTAACCCATTAGTTCAGTTCAACTCCTCATAGTGGCTCTGAGGCGTTCTATAAAATAAAGAGCAGAAAGACAGTAACTGCATCCTTCATAATCAACCTTCTTTTAATTTCAATTGTTAAATTAATTCAGATATACTGTTGACAATTGACCCTTCGCAGGGAGCTTGATTGACAGGTGATCTGACCAATCATACTTCGCCATCCGCCATTTTGTCCGACAAAGCAGTCAGGAGAGTTAGTAGATTAACATGGGAGGATTTGAACTTGAAAAACGGAATGTACTGATGCCTTTCTGCGGTTAAAACAACATTCCTTCTTATGTTCATTCATGTTTATTTGATGCTATAAATGAACTAGAAGGAAGAGAAGATCGGATCACAAGCAGCTTTAACTGATGCTCTACAGCGATCTGTCACGACACATTAAAGAGCCACAAAACGGTATTTATTGTTTAAATTTCTTTTTTTTTAAAAGACCAAATTCGAAAGGTGAGACTTTGTTAAATATGTTTAATATCAAAAGTAACCGAAAAGTAACCTGGTCTGTCCTGTCTGTCAGCGTGTAGTCAGTCCGCGATGTATTTTTCACTGCATGAGAACATGGTGTGTGTGTGTGTGTGTGTGTGTGTGTGTGTGTGTGTGTGTGTGTGTGTGTGTGTGTGTGTGTGTGTGTGTGTGTGTGTGTGTGTGTGTGTGCGAGCAGCGTATCTTGTCGGACATAGCGACAGTAACTAAGGGGGGGCGGGTCTTTGCAAACGGTCAATTATGACTAAACTATTCTTAAGATCCCTTACCCACAAAATGGCTCCAAGATGTCACATGTTGATGCTTTCAGCTAAGGATTTAGTCATGGAATTCAGTAGCTTGAAAACTGTGGGCAAGCAGAAAGCTTTAGAGAAAAAATATTATTATTATATTTTTTAAGAGTGTGGGCAAACAGAAAAGCCAAGAGGAAATAAAAAAGAAGAAAACGATAAAATAGCAATAACATTAATAATTATTATTAACAAATAAATGTAGAGACTTTTATTATTTATTATATTATTATTGTTGCATTCTGCTTTCTAAAGAATTAATCACAAATTATTTTATGGTTTCTCATTCATACATATAAAAGTACTCTAATAGTAAATAGAAAATGAAACACTGTCAGCTTATTAGTTAGTAAATATTTATTTAAATATTTATATTCATTTATTTTTAACTGTATTAATACCTTCATATTTTAGGGAGAGGGTCTCTTGAAAGCAGGTCATAATTGGGTGGTCCATGGCATTAAAAACTTTAAAAACCCCTGACCTAGTTAATTGTAAATGTTAGCGAGCAATGGATCACAACAGGAGAATATAGCATTATATAAACGGGATTTGTAACAATTATATCATAGTGCTATAGCAAACAAATAATGCTACTAAACCGTCCCTCACCATAAAGTAAAGAAATATTCTACCTGTGTGAGGGACATGCTCAGCTCATTACCACAGCATCAAGCAGTCCATTTGCTAGCCTCCACCCTCCTCTTCTCCCACATAAAGCGTCTCATTTTTGCTTCAAAGTGATTCATAACACAGCATCGCAGTGTCTTTTTCCCTCATGTAGTTACACAGCTGTTAAGCAGATACTGTTTGTACCAATCTATATACTGCATTGTTTGTCAGCACCAGTTTAGAAATTCATTCTTTAACTAAGGACCAGCCACAGAGGGTCTGATGGGGCAGGAAGAGAGGTGGGAAGACATATTTTGGAGCTGTGCTACTAATTCACACAAAGGCAGTGGTCGAAAAAAGAACGATGCAGAAGTAAACCACAGATATAAGTTAAGCTGTCAGTCTGTGTTTGAGATTATAGGAGTGCAGGTGGCTTCACTGAGGAGACTGGCTGTCAGACACACTTACCAGAGCAGGATTGACCAAACCCTGATTTACTTACTGATAATTTGACTGGTACTAATGTTAAGACACAGAAGCGGGCACAGGGAACCCTTGATTTGCCATCCGTGTGACAGTCCTTAACAAGGCTAAGCAGCAGGTATAATATCCTCAATAATTAATATCCAAGCCAAAGGAAGACGGAGGATATCAAGGTCACTTTCCTGAAGGAGTCACAGAAATTGAAGGTACAAGACAGAGAAAAGCACATGTACAGGTGTAATACAGAAACTATTTTTCCAAATGGTGTGAAAGAGTGAGGGAGGGAAAAAAAGAGAAAGACAGGGAGCAAGCAGATGGAGTGAGAATCTTGGAGGGGTGCTCTAGATGGCAAGGTTTCTGCACTGAGTGCCGTCTTCGTGGCTCAGTGACGCATCCTCCTCCACTGTTTGTAAAAACAAGACCATCACACTCCATCTTGTGGTCCCGCAGGGCTGAGGGCTCGCGGCTGATTTATGGTGCACAGACTGAATTGCCTGGCTGGGATGACAGCAGCACTTGGACTCTCCCTCGTGGGAAGCCCCCAGCGTCTGCCTGGCTTGTCGTAGCCTGTGCATGGCAGCTTGCGATAGTGTTAGAGTGGAGACAACACGACCCCCATCCTGGACGGACACGCTGCAATGTCACACAGGACCTCCCGGTCACTTCCTGTGCCTCCAGAGAATGACGTGAATGAGATGAACAATAGTTGCATGACATTTATTTAAGTCTCTCATATAGCCAAATTAACATGCCACCCAGTTTAATGTGCCACCTATTGCAAAGTGTGGGTCAGCAGAAAGGTCCAGCAATAATAAATAAAAGTAAAATAACAAAATATAATAATAATAATAATGTAAAAAAAAAAAAGTACAAGTACAAAAAAGTTTGTCTGCTTTCTAAAGACTGGCAGGAAATCATTAAATCAAATTAAATTAAATCACAAATGTATTGTTTATTATTAAATAATAAATAATGTGCCATTGCCAAGTGCTTGTCCCACAAAG